AGACATTTTCAATTTCTGCTTCAGAATTAAGCATTTCCTTATAGGCAAGTGGTTCACCACTATCAGGTTTAACCACTGTCAATTTTTTTGATGATTGATGGCCAGAAGTAGGAACACAGAAAAATTACCTGTCACACTAACAATGCTAAATTGCTCGTACCCAAAATTCTTCATTTGTTCAGGATAGGATAAAAACATGTGCATTGGAGCAAATATTATCCAGGTCAGAGAATGCTGCTAGCATCATCCCTTCCAGTGTTCACTGTGTTTATCAAATAATAATTAAGATCTATATTGCACTTGAAGTCTGGATATTTCTGCGAGCCACATTAAGTTCTCAAGACAGGGCCTGCCAAGTCATCTGCTTTTCAAGCAGTGGTTCAATGTAGAAATTCAAGTTTAATGGCATCGTGTGTACTTCCAGATACTCTTTTCTGGTTTTTCAAGAAAGCCTATTTGTCAGCAAGCGCCTGACAAAAAAGACACTTAGAAGAAAAGATGTCTGAATGATTTTGCATAGGTTAATCTTGAAAGATTCCTATTTAGCATGCTATAAAATAAGTAACAGCTATATAGTTTTTAAATATCACATAAAATCACAACTGAAGGAGTTGTACATTGTGCCAGAACTGGGAAACCATAATTTGCTATTAAACAACAAACCACATTTTAAAAAACCCTAAAATTTGAAATGGGCTTGAAACCTATGATCAGAGTTAACTATCAGATAACATGACTTCTTGGTATTGATCAGTTGTAGAAGATCCCAACACCTGGAAGCTGCTGCAAATACAGGTAAGGTAAGCAGACAGAAAACAAAAAGTGGAGAAGATTCTCTCCATTTGTAGCACTGTCTGCACTCCTAACAGTGATGAGAACAAATCAATGTTTTAGTATGATATCTGAACCAAGATACATACTTTGGGATTAATTTTTGGCCTATCAGCTTGTTAGAAGGTAGTTCACTGGGTCAAATACGAGCAGTAAAACACCTAACAGTCCTAAGACATCTGACAGACATTTTTATAGTAAGATTTACAAGCCGTGAGAAAAAGACACACACTAAGCTATATTATTTATTTACAAACTATACATGTCATCCCTCATGACAAAAATGATCCCTGGGCATCTTATAGCTTGTCATATATCAGCATAAAGCCAGTACAATAATAGAAACATCACATATGTTAAACCTTTGGCCTTACTCTAATATATGCAAGCCAGCTGAGCAAAGGCTTGATTTACCTAATGCCAGAAGATGTCCAAAATTAAAGGCAACCACAGTTAATGGCAACCTGGCAGCTCAAAGAATTCCCCATCTGGGAATGCCATTACTGGGGGGAAATTCATTAGCAGGTGGTATAACCAAAGTGGTCTTCCCCATGATTCTCAATTCATGAGCAGGGTGATTCAGGGAAATATTCCTAAATTCCTTAGGGCTTTATGCATCCAGACTAGCACTCCTAACTGGAATGGTCTCACAAAGTTAAACCAGCCAACACCTGCATGGCTGCATTGTGCACAAAACGGGTTTGTGTTGTGGATTCCAATGTACTTCCTAGATTAGGAAGGAATTTTTTTCTAAGCTGCTTCCACAGCGATGCTATTTCTCTACCAGCTACTACATACAGCAGAAAGACCTATACATTTAAACATAATACTTATGAAACTGTAGCCTCATCTGTAATTGTAACAACATTTTGCAAAAATACGAAAGGTAATCTTATTCTTTTGCAACTTAACGCTAACAACGAAGATGGGCAATGTGATCCTTGATTACTTTATTCTACTAGACAGTAAGCAATTTAAATTCAGAATCACATGTAAATCTTGAATCCATTCAAATAAAATTACTGCACCTTTTTCAAGTTCTAAGTAAATATTTTTGAAAACAAGGAGGGGAAATCTCCTGCAATCTGTTGAAGGTTTTAAAACAAGTCCTGATCAGTATTGTTTACACTTCTAGAAGCATTCCATAACTCATACCTACATCGATTCCTCTATATCCAGTACATCGGAGCTTAAGATCAGCTGGGGAGGCCCTGCGCTCTCGATCCCGCCTTCTTTGTAGGTGCGGCTGATGGGGACGAGAGACAGGGCCTTCTCAGTGGTGGCTCTTCGGCTGTAGAACTCCTTCCCTAGGGATATTAGATTGGCCCCTCCTTCCTGACCTTCCGGAGGAAAGTAAAAACCTGGCTTTTTGAACAAGCCTTTGGGAATGCAGTGCTATAGTTAAGTACAGATTCATATGGAACTGAACTATGGAACGTCTCAGACGATGTTTTTTGGACAACGTGATGAACAGTAAATATATTGGTTTTATGTGTTTTTAAATGCTTTTTATTGTATGATTTTATAAATTTGTTTAAATGCTTAAATTTTATACCATATATGGTTAAGGCATCGAATGTCTGCCGGGTGATCAGCTGCCTTGAGGCACCTTCGGGTTTGAGAAAGGCGGAATAGAAATATTGCAAATAAATAAATTTTGATCTCATAACAGGAGAACATCACTTGCCACTGATGCAAAACGAACAGCATCACAACAACTTCACTAAATCTGGAAGTCAGATGGCACACCCACTGGTAAGTCTATACACATAATAAAGGTAAAAAATGTGTATATATGGTGGAGGTGTCCACTTACACAGACAGCCTCCTGCCTCCACAAGCAGGCTATAGTTCCAAGTGCTGAGAACTCTCCAAAGGCACTCTCCTCCAATGACATTGCAGGTTATAGCAAGCGCCATGAACATGTAGCCCAAACACTACCAATGTCCTCCCCAAACACTATGGCACACCATCCAAGGAATGCTTTCATTCGGGGAGTATTTCTTCCTAGATTTTAGGTGTTTCCTCCACCACAGGCAGGCATCTCAGGGTTCCTTTCTCTGAAATTTGCATGACCCCGCCCACTGCCTCTCCTGTAACCCTTTCCTATGGTACACAGCAAACAGGGAGGAATTGATCAGCAACCGAACAGACTAGAGGGATTTGGGGGACTCACTCAACAGGATGGAAGTTGTAGTTCATCCTGCATCAAGACAGAGCACTGTAAATGGTGCTACTAATTAACAAAATGATATTACCTAAAACCCCAAAACAATGTCTTTTCCAAATAACTTGGGCACCGCCAGGTACCCAGGCTAGTTATTGAATATATGTCGCAGAAATAGGACCAGACAAGCTGAGGCTTTTTCTTTCCTGGATAGTTATTAAGTACTGGAGCATGAAAGCCTAAAATTGAGAAGCGAAGTGCTAGAATACTCCTGTACTCTGGAGAATGATCAATGGTGACAAAAGGAAGCAGTCCCACTTGTACTCACCAACACAATACAATCTAACACGCTGAGATACTTTAAAAGCCTGTTTGAAATCAGTGTTAGTTTCAGTGCTTTGTTAGGGCACACACAGTATCTGCCTGAGTCAATTAAAAAGAACTGCTAGAGCTTCCCTAAAGGGAAATTAAGGCAACAAAGGCAGGACTTTTCACCTGTTGTAAACTTGCCTCATGTCCTAAGCACAAAAAAGATTATGTCAGACTGCAGGGATGTATAGCACAAAACCATAAAGACTAATGAGGCAGATAAAGGGATACCCTATTCATCAAGACAAGGAACAGGCTCTTGTTTTAGGTTCAAAGGAGTGCCTGCTTTCCTCTGGACTGCTCTGAGCTAAGCGAAAGATTCACGCCTGTCCTGGCATCTGACCAAAGCACTCTAAGAAAACCTATTTTGAGATCTTTTGCTTTCATGTAAGATGGGAAGGGTCAGCTGTCAGACAGAGGTGGCTTCTGGGACAATTTAATCTTGGCCGGCAACAACCCAATGCAATTCTAATCAAGTGTGTTCAAACCTTTGCACAAAGTTTTGCTCTCACAACACACACATATAATATTGTAAAAGAAATTCTACTCTTTAAATATTTCATCTCTTTTGAGCATCAAAGGTATAATTGGCAACACATATTGCACCACACATTCGGGCCCCAGACCACCACCAAATCAATATCAAAGACAAGCTGAGCAAAGATAAGTGCCATGATTACTTTTGAAACCCTTGCCTGTGTAGACTGCCCCCTTTTTAGTCCTGCAGAGAGTGTAATTTGCCTTCCCCTGACATCTTTAAAAATTGCTTTTTAAATAGCTTGCAACTCTCCCTACCCCACTCAATTCTGTAGCATCCAAAACACTTTTGTCCACTTCTGATTTTGTCTTTTCCCTCTTGGTATTTCTGGAAGTCGGTCCAAAACTTGAACCCACCTCTGTTGCCCATCCCTAAATATAATATTTCACATAAGAAAACAGATATTGTTGGACATCAAGTACTAACTCTCCTAATCATTGATTTATATTTATTTTGTTTATTTTATTGCAACTTGTATTTTATTTTATTGTAATTTGTTGTTTGGGCTTGGCCTCATGTAAGCCGCCCCAAGTTCCCGTTGGGGGAGATGGTGGCAGGGTATAAATAAAGCTTATTATTTATTATTATTATTTCACTGACTAGGGGCTACTAGAACTCGGAGTTCAGTATCTAGAAGACTACAAGAAGGAGTACTTTGTGTTTTTCCTGCATGTTAGGGGGTTGGACTAGATGGCCCAAGTGATTTCTTCCGACTCTATTATTCTATGAGTCTATAATTCCCACACTACAATAGAGGCTAGTCACTCACTGTAAATATTCTAAAAGGTCTCAATATCACATATGGCAAACAACTAAAATATTCAACCGTTAATGCAGTATGTTATGAAACCATTGATGCCACCTTAAATTATCTTAGGCATTATATTGTTTTTCTTCTGTGTGGGGAAAAATATGTACATTTAGAAGCTATCTTTGCAGATTTCACTACACTACCCCAACAAGATAACTAGATTTCCCCCCTCTATTCTGCTCTGAACAAAGAACTGCTTATACAACAAACAGCATTTGGAAGGACAGCCTCCAAATGAAGCATGGCATAAAGACACGCTGCCTTCAAAGGAACAAAAAGCTCACCTCATCACAGTCTCCTTCAACCATGGCGTAAATAGCTTTCTTTACCAAGTTTGTACCTAGAATAGAGAATAAAGCAACACATTTCAAGCACAGGCATAATTACTTCAGCACAATTAACTCCAGTGGAGGAGATTATGATGCTATCTAAAATACATGATTTAATTTAAGCAAAATTTAGGTTTACTATTGGCATTGTCCATGACTAAGAGAATAACAATTTTACCTCAAAGGAGAAAAACTATACATGTCTCTGCAATCAACTTGCAATGGGCCATTCCCTGAAATCGGATTCTGGCCCTACTTGGGATCTTTATTCTGGGTTTTGATTTTTTGATATAATCAGGTGCAAGAAAGGGATGCTATAATGAATTTTATGACAGAGAAGAGCTGGCATGTAGAATGAGAGATCAAAAATGTGCATACCATATTTAAGGTACCTTGGAATTTAACCCCCTCCCCAATTCTATTGCTATGCTGTTTGCACTTTTGGACGTCACAAAACAAAATGAAATATTATTTACACACTCTACATCCTTTGGTTTATTTAGATTTCTGTGCCCAGATTTCTATTGTTTATCATATGAAAATGCATCACAGAGAAAAGCAGCTAACTTAAGAGAATGAACTGCACATAAACAAGGCACTGTGGTTGTTGTTAATTGCTGTCAAGTCACCTTCAACCTATGGTGACCTCCGAGACACTCAGTTAGAATTATTAACAGCCCTGGTAAGGTCTTGAAACTCAGGGATGCGGCTTTCTTCATTTAGTCTATCCACCTGTAATGCAGTCTTCCGGTTTTCCTTTAGCCTTCCAACTTTGCTGGGCATTATTATCTTTCTAATGAACTAGATTGTCTCATGATGTGCCTGAAGTAAGACATCTTAGTTTAGTTATAAGTTTAGTTCATTGGAAAACGAAAGAGGTTCTTAATGTTTTGAACAAGATAAAAAGAGCCTGGTTGCTTCTGAGGTACAGAGAAAAGTGAGACTTCATGGCATATGTCCAAAAGGACTTGGTATCATTTAAATATGTTGTACTAAGTGATTTGAAGCAGTGGCTTATATCTATTTGCTACAATTTAAAATGCACTTCCTCCAATAACCCCTTCCTTCTTGTTGGGTTGGTGGGAAGGATCTTTTTCAACCACAATATGTTTACATGTGGTTTAACTAAACACTAGAATTACAAATTTCTGGAAATAAATCCAAAGTAGAATCCTACCAATTCTGTTACTGTCAAAATAAAAAGTGGGATAGTAGCTTACTTCTATATCATGTTAAGTTTATCAATCATTTATAACAAAGAAGCAGGCATTAAAATTGTGGTGGAAATGTGATATTTCTCTCAGGACTCTGGAAGTGTTGAGTCCAGTAGAATCCAGAGATCAGCAATTGGGACACAGGTTGTATTTGGCTTCATAGATAAGGCAATCTTGTACATGAAGAGGCCATGTTTTGTGTACCACAGCCACCTAGGTGAATTGTGCCCCAAACTATACATGTTCTCAAAAAATACATAAATAATATATGCAACATATTTAAAAAAAACCCCAAGAAACATGATGAAAAAATAGCAGTATCATTTGGTAGTCTTGCACATTCTTTGTTTCATCTTTATCTTTGAAACACTTGCTTCTGTTGATACACACACATATAGAGACATTTCATTGTTGTGCTAGGACTGCGGGAGACCCGGATATAAATCCCCACTCAGTCATGGAAACCCACACTCCATCAGTCTCAAAGAAAGGCCATGGCAACCACCTTCCCAAAACAAGTTCTGCCAAAGAAAACCCTGTGACGGGTTTGCTTTAGGTTCGCCATAAATCAGAAATGGCTTGAAGGCACACAACAATAGGCACTTAATATGAGCAACATATAATTTTCAGCCACAATACAACTCTTAAGCATTGCACAATATAATTATGCAATTATTTTGTTGAAAAAAAAAGATTGCAGTGTGCATATTCTGCCTTTGTTCCATAAAAGAACTCAAAGCAGCTTAGGTAAGGGTTTTAAGCACTAAAGCAAAATCCATGCTCGGTGCATCATGTCTCCAGAACTTCCCTAAGATGGTGTGTCTGGGAAATCATAGAAAGTGATGAGTACCCAATTAATCACATTCTGTCTCTCTCAGTTGTGCCATAAATATGCCAGATTCTATTCAGCTGTTAAATGAAACTAATACACAGGTGAATTACACTGATCTGCAGCACAGAATTGGTAGATGCTGCACAGGTCAATTATAAGGATCAAAGTAATCCATAACAAGGAAGGATTTTTCCTCATGTCTGATATTAAAACAGCAACTGGTTGGTGTATTTCTTTAAAAGTACACTAGCACCATTCTTACCTATGCCTTTTCTTCTGTATTTGGAATCCACTGCTAACATGGCTATATAACCTCTGCGAAACATCTTTTTGTGCATATCCAACTTGCAGACGATGGCACCTACGCACTCGTCTCCTACCATTGCCTTTAAAAAGAAAAGGAAGAAAGAACCCAAACACATTTTTGTAGGTAAAGAATTACCACAAAACCGACAATCTTGTAGACATATTTATGAAAAGACTTCATGCAGAAAAATTGTTATACGGAAAGATGTATCTCCTAGCAACAAAAAGCATCCACTGTACATGTTGTTGAATAATAAGTTATAGATAGGCTTTTTCAAAGAAGGAGTATTACACTCATTGGCATGGATTCAAAGCAGCACAAAGAACAGGTAGCTTCCACAAAACTTTTCCATTTCTGCCAGACTTGTGTGATGTCTTCACCGTCACAGAGCAAGTCACTTTGAAGAGTCAGGATAATCTATTAAAACAGCAAGGGATGGTGTATGGATGGCTGTTGAGGGAGCAGGGAACTACCAAGGACAACTGGAGTGAAGCTTACACAAAGTATTCCACCCATTTTGTAGTACTTTGCATTCAGGGGTAGCGATTTGGGAATGGGGCCCCCGGTGGCACAATGGGTTAAACCCTTGTGCCAGAAGGACTGAAGACCAACAGGTTGGAGGTTCGAATTTGGGGAGAGCATGGATGAGCTCCTTCTGTCAGCTCCAGCCTCCCACAAGGATGATAAAACATTTAAAACATCCGGGCGTCCCCTGGGCAACATCTTTGCCGACAGCCAATTCTCTCACATCAGAAGCTACTTGCAGTTTCTCAAGTCGCTTCTGACACGAAAAAAAAAAGGGGGGGGGGGGGCAATAGAGCAAAAAAAAAAATCCACGTCCAAAAGCAGCAATCCTTTTTGGTCCAACTTTTTTCCTGAATAATTTTAAAAATAAGTCAGTGAAGCTTTCAAACCTTACATAATGTATTTGATGCTATTATATGGGTTTCCTGACCACCCAAATAAGCAGAGATATAGAAAAGTATTCCTTAATGAGCACCTCAGAATCCAAACCACTGGATTACGCTTGTTTGACCCAGAATTCCTAAGTATCATAAATGATTACACAAACGTCATTTTGAAAAAGAGCATGAAATCAGTACTTTATTTTCACATGCACCTTTGATTTGCCTGAGAACTTACAAAACTCTAAGCAGAAAATCCATTACCTCTTATTATTTAATATCCATGTATTACTTTAATTACCAACATGCCGGAATTAAATAAAGGCTGCTCACTATCTGACTGGAATCAAAGGGATGACTCCAGAGACTATTCTGGAACAATTTGCTAAGAAGTTGATGGGAAAAACCATGTGTATTCTGAAGTTAAAATCAGAACCTGAAATACAGTTTGGTCAACTCTAGGTTAAGCGTAATGAATATCTTAAGATCTTTCAAATCTCTTTATAAGTTTTCCCTTTGAAAGGTTCAGCCAATAATCTGCCCCTCTTCCTGCATTCAGATATCACAATCCATATGGATGCTAATTTTGCTTAAGCATCCTGTGGTTTAAAAAATGTAAATCAGTGGTGACTAGACCCAACCACAAAATACTTGAGCGATGCTAGCTGTACATTTCCCATTCATTTAGGAAAAACATGAGACTTAACACACTGAAACTAGAAAAAAAGACTGCAAAAAGGGAAACACCTGCAAAACACAGAAATATACAATCACACATTAATCTTGTACAATTGCATTATACACGGTTACACATTATGAATGTCGAGAAGCTTATCCAAAGTATAGAATAACTGTTATCTGTACACTTGTCCTCTTGTATACCAGTATGTACCACCATGTCTGCTAAAATGTTCTAAGCAAGCCAAAACCAAAGACCCATCCAATAAATCTCACTCTTGAACCAAATAAACTGGATTTAGAATTCAATATCATCATTATATTTTAGTAATTTAGTAGAAGATGTGGGTTAAACCGCTGAGCTGCCAAACTTGCTGACTGAAAGGTTGGAGGTTCGAATACAGCGAGTTGGATGAGCTCCTGCTGTTAGCCCCAGGGCTTCTGCCAACCTAGTAGTTTGTAAACATGCAAATGTGAGATGAATAGGTACCGCTTTGGTGGGAAAGTAATGGAGCTCCATGTAGTCACGCAGGCTACATGGCCTTTGAGGTGTCTATGGACACCGCTGGATCTTTGGCTTAGAAATGGAGATGAGCACCCCTCCCAAGTCAGACACGACTAGACTTAATGTCAAGGGGAAACCTTTACCTTTAGAACAGTGGTTCTCAACCTGTTGGTCCTCAAATGTTTTGGCCTTCAACACCCAGAAACCGCTGGTAAACTGACTGGGATTTCTGGGAGTTGTAGGCCAAAACACCTGGGGACCCACAGGTTAAGAACCACAGCTTTAGAAGATGCCCCTAAATGTTTATGATTTCACAACATAATCAACTGTAGGCTATGAAGAAGTTGAAAGAGTATTTTCTGTGCAAAGTACCATCACTATATCAATACGTAGCCAACTGCTTTATTAAAGACATTCATATGGTGAAAATACCATATCTCTTGGGATCAGAAAGATTTGTGGCGCAACAGCAAAATTCAATCAATGTTAAGTACTCCTAAGCCCATCAACAGGACCAAAGATGTGGGGTAGATTTTCATTTTATATTTTTACATGAAAAACAAGTCCAGTGTTTTAAAGTATATATAAATGTACATGTGTGTGTGCTTGTTTATATGTTTATCCACAGCTGTCTGAACCATTACACTGCATCAATCATGTCAAATAAGCTGAATACAGAATATTAAATTTGTGTTATTCTTCTAAGGCAAAAAGCGTTGAGAAACCCTAGTGCTTAGAAGAACAGACTAACAAACGAACGAAATGTTTTTATTTCACGGAAAGTTCTGGCTATCAATCAGTCCCAGTTACTGGTAGTCAAGACAAAATGTGCCAGGTTTGCTATGCCCTTAGATTCTCATACATCCTTTAGGGAAATAAAATGTTCATTCTGTTGTACTGAATCCGTGTATTTCTTGACTTGAAACAGAAGTGGCTAGTTTTACAGAGTGAATGATATAAGACCAAAGTATTCAGTTATACTTCAGGAAAAAGTATATATACAAATACAGTAAGGTTTTGCTTATCCAACATAAATGGGCTGGCAGAATGTTGGCTAAGTGAAAATGTTGGAAAATAAGGAGGGATTAAGGAAAAGCCTATGTTAAATTGCGTTATGATTTTACAAATTAAGCACCAAAACATCATGTTTTACAATAAACCGACAGAAAAAGCAGTTCAATAGACAGTAACATTATGTAGTAATTACCGTATTCACGAATTTAGCACCAAAACATTGCAATGTATTGAAAAAGCAGTGGATCCGGGCAGGAGGCAGACTGTGTTGGATAATACAGAATGTTGGTTGAGCTAAGGTTAGATAAACAAGACTCTACTGTATGTCAAAAAACAATGTTCATATAAAGCTTTGACTGTGTTTGACTACAGCATTTAAACAAAACATGTTAAATACAATCACCGCTTTGAGTCGCCTGAGGGCTGAGAAAAGCGGTATATAAATAAAAGTAAATAAATAAATGTTATTTAGAACATTTGATTTTTTTTAATTCTACTTTTTCCAGAAAACCCATAGACCTGAAATAAGTGGGGATTTAAAACTCTCACTGAGATCAATGTGGCATCTTTTCCTGACAAGCCTCTTGCAGGAAGTGTATTCATGTAAGGAGTTCAAGGGCACACCACATGGCAGTACACAATAGGCTCACTTGTCCTGCCAACTGCCAGTGTTTGCTCAGCAGGGCGAACACAACTGGTAGTCTGATCTTTAAAATGCTTAGGCTGGCATACAACATAAGCATTTTGCATCCTCACGTTAGTACAGCTGCTCTCTTATCCTCTGTTTCTTACTCTACAGGAGTTAAGAGTTGCATGACTAGAAGGCAAGCAGAGCAGAATATATTGTGCAGTGGAACACTATAAATGGAAGTTCAAGCTGCCATCTTTAAGATTGCATTCAGGCTTCATGTAAAACACTGTCACACTCAAACCAATATCCCAATTTGCAAGACAAAACCAGTTAATTATTGTTAATTAGCCAGAAAAGAAGTTAGGCAAATGTTGTGCAGGTGCATCTGTGCATTTAAGTAATCAGATCTAATTTGCCAAATAGTCACTGTTGAATGTTTTTATGTTGAATGTTTTTATATTGTGTAAATGCTATTTTAGACTGTAAGTCGCTCGGAGCACCTTGGTGGAGAGCAACTAAGAAATAAAGTGAAGGTAATGTGGGGCCCATCTTCATTGACCATATGAGTCAGCTCAGAATGGACTCTGTAGCATCCCCATGTTGCATAGGGGTTATTAGTTGGAGCTTTCCTTAAGCTCCTGAGCTCATCAGCATTTTGGGCCAATGAAAACAGTAGGATGCTTCCTATTTGGGAAGTGGCTGTAGCTGTTTATGCTGCGACCCTGGGACAGGGGATGGCACCTACCTTGCCCTGTTGATCTGGCTTTTGCAGTGTCCACTGGGCACGGATATAGTAATAATGTTCACTATCATGTAGTAATAATAATAGCCAGAGAAACATGGCAAACTGAGAAAGGAAGGGGGAAAGAGGGACATTGATAGTCTGTGTAGATGCTCCCTCAGTTATACAAAAGCTTGTGCCACCAATTTTGTGCTTTCAGTTAATTCTTTGTTTCTGTCCTCAACACACAGGTGCTCTTGGGGACATTTACATTAAACAGCTAGAACCTGACTGGCAACTGTCACCCAAAGGATCCTTTCAACATCTGCTCCTCTAGACTGTGGAACAACTTGCCAGAAGAGATGCAAGAGCTAAATGAGCTATCAAAATTTAAGACACAATTAAAGACTTAATTCTTCTGGCAGACCTACCCAGTCAATTTTAAACAATGAATTTTAACTTTACATTTTATTAGTATTGATGTTTTCATCTTTGTCACATGTATTTTAATGATATTGTGTTTTATCTGGTTGTTTTAACAGATGCCATGAAGAAAGGCATGTAACAAATACAATTATGATAATGATTAGAAGCTCCCTTTGCATGGTGCAGTTCGGACAACTTC